AACAATGTTAAACCTGAACAATTCTTTATCCTTCTGTGTATCAAAATGGGATTTTAAATAAAATGTCATTTAAAACATAAGTTAAAGAAAAAAAATACATGCAGTAGAAATGAATGCTGACTCACTGCATGGAGTAACAGCTTCTCAAAAAGCCACTTCCTATTGTTCTCTGATGGGCAAGGAAGGTCCCATGAATATGCCAGGCTCTGTACTCTTTCCATTTGAGTATCAGAGAGCCTGGATTCTCCCTCGAGCTGCAAAAGACATCGCAAAGAACTCAGAGGGGAAAAAAGCAAGAAAGAACTAGAATAGTGTAATACACATACAATTCTATTTTTGTGAATTGGGGGGCATACAGTACTGATGGTTTCCCTGATGTCTAGGTCTGGGCAGTCCTCCAGGGTGACAGTTGCTGTTTCTGGACTGCCGCCAAGTAGAACATGAATAACAGCAGGACTAAGTCCTGACAGGCGTGGTCCTCCATGAAGGAAAGAGTGGCCTATCATTCTGCCAGCCACTAAAAACATGTCACTTTCAACAAGAAAGTGAGAGGCTGATGGGACCCAGTGGCCAGGTTCTCCTTCGAAAAGTCGTGTAACAATGGAGTTTCCTGTTCAATAAATCAAAAATATAAGAAAATAATTAATACTGATGCATAAAGACCAATGTTTAACCCTATACTGCCTCACCTATATTTTGGCTACACAGTAATGATTTCATTCATTTTTAGAAATATTGTACCTTCTTCATATCAACATTTACAACAATACATGAAACTTGAAGTTTGAGTTATCATGATTAACTAACAATGAGCTTTTACACATGACAGATGTTTGTGTAATATAAAGTGAACACAAATGACATACCAAAGTTTATAGAAAAACCTGACTTCAATTTTTCCAGTACGGTTGAAAAGAAAAAGCGGTTTACACCTAGTCCCACAGCAACATCTCCTGCAAGGTAAATGGTTTGACAGGTCAAACATACTTTGAAATGCAAACATGTGTAAAACTTGTGACTTAATTACTTTACCTTCAAGCCTACAATTAAGGGGGCGTGCCCATAGCACATTTTGTCGCTTATAGAAAGAAATCAGAGCCGTGTCTTTTTCTGCAGGGCTGTCTCTTAAGTCCATCTCCAACAGCAAGGGGTTCTCCATTGCATGTATTTGGAGGAAATGGTCTGCACAGCGAGAAATGGCCTTTGAAGCATCGCTTATGGTATACCAGTCTAAGAGGGGAAAAAAAAAAA